AGTGTACACTTTCAGGATCTATTTATACTGCAAAATAAATGTATTAGAATCATCGGTCAAATTGAAAATCTTGACAGTTGCAAACCCTATTTCATTAAAAATAACATCCTCTCCTCACACTACCATCATCATACATAGTTGACACTAGCTATTCCCCGCGAATTCGCCCGCGTGTTATTTGGTGTTTTAATTTTTTTGCGCGGAACCCTAATTATTTTTCAAAACTAAAAGTAGCCTAAGCATACCAGAGTAGAATTACAGCAAAAAGAAATTGAAAAAAAAATATCGCAATGTGCTTAGAGAAGGCGAGCACTACATACCAACAGATGTCTATCTACATACTAACAGATGACTAACTGGAACTTAAGAGCATAACATAGAAGAGACCGATAATGACAATGTTCCCGCGATCTGTTTTCACATCTCTCCTCGTCAGCACGTCAACAGTCTACTGCGAAACATAGGCAATGGATAGTCTCACACACATATACTTGCCATAGCTACCATGCTTAGCAGGCAACCGCATAAATGGTTAGCAAATGCATTTTTTTATTATTACGAGCTCTTGTTGCTTGAGATGCTGCTGCCCATCTCCTGTTTCAGTTTCTCTCTGTCACCTTACCTGAAACGTATTCAACTTGGTAGCAACTTGGGCCAGACGGAGGGCTATTACAGTAATAAGTTTTTGTTTTTTTTATAGAAGAATAGCTGTTCCCCGCGACATTGCCCGCGTGTTATTTGGGGTTTTAATTTTTTTGCGCGGAACTCTAATTATTTTTCTAAAATAAAAGTAGCCTAAGTTACTCCTTGTGACATCAGCTATCTGCCAGTGAAAATCCCGTCAAAATCGGTACAGCCATTTCGGAGATTAGCCGGAACAAACATACAGACAGACGGACAGACAGACAGGCAGACAGACAAAAACTTTAAAAATTGTATTTTGTTATTAGTACCGTATATACTTTCATATGCATTTAGTAAAAAACTGTAATTTTGACATTACAAACAGACACTTCAATTTTATTTATTAGTATAGTAAAAAACTGTAATTTTGACATTACAAACAGACACTTCAAATTTATTTATTTGTATAGAGTATAGATTTTGATATTTGTATTCAAGAACATAAACCACTTCACAGAAGTAAAAGACAATCACAATATAAACACACGCCACAGAGACAGACTATACCTACCACCATCAAGAATTAAAATGTTAAACCAGAGTCCATACTACATGGTTGTAAAAATATACAATAAATTGCCTATCCACATAAAAATTGAAAATAAGATTATACTTTTCATTAATAAACTAAAAACATTCTTAACAGAAAAATGTTTCTACTCAGTCAAAGAATACATTGAAGCAAAAAACGAATAACAAATTACATATCTTTTACACAAATAACAGAGCCTAAACCTAACCTAAACCTTAACCTAGACATTATCATAATTTCATCATCATCACAGCCCTTCACAAGTCCACTGCTGAACATTGGCCTCCCTCAAAGAATGCCACAAAGCACGGTCCTGAGCCACCTGCATCCATCGACTTCCTGCATGTCTTACCAGGTCGTCACTCCATCTCGTGGGGGGACGCCCTACACTTCGCCTACCGGTACGAGGCTGCCACTCGAGAACCTTTCTTCCCCATCGGTTGTCGGTTCTTCGAGCTATATGGCCGGCCCACTGCCACTTCAGCTTACTAATCCGTTGGGCTATGTCGGTTATTCTGGTTCTACTGCGGATATTCTCATTCCTAAGTTTATCACGCAAAGAAACTCCGAGCATAGCCCTCTCCATAGCTCGCTGAGCGACCTTGAGCTTCCTCATACGGCCAGCAGTGAAGGATCACGTTTCAGTTCCGTAAGTCATCACTGGCAACACGCACTGGTTGTACAATTTCGTTTTAAGGTTTTGAGGTATGTCTGACGAGAAGATGTGTCGTAGCTTCCCGAACGCTGCCCAGCCGAGTTGAATCCGTCGATTGACCTCTCGGTCGAAGTTGGACTTAGGTGAGGTCATTGAGCATAGTGCTTAGGCCCTCCAGCGATTCTGCCATAAGGACTATATCGTCGGCAAATCGAAGGTGAGTGATGTACTCGCCATTGATGTTGATACCGTATCCTTTCCAGTCCAGAAGCTTGAAAACGTCTTCCAATGCAGCGGTGAAGAGTTTCGGGGATATGACGTCACCCTGTCTTACACCTCTCTGCAATTGGATAGGTTTCGTACTCTGGTTCTGTACTCGGATAGCCATCGTAACCCTACTGTACAAGGACTTCAACACTTTGATATACCGACAGTCAACTTGGCACCGCTGAAGGGTCTGCAGCACCGCCCAAATTTCGACGGAATCAAAGGCTTTCTCATAGTCCACATACGCCAGACATAGTGGCAAATTTTACTCTTCGGACTTCTGTACAACTTGCCGAAGGGTATGTATGTGGTCTATGGTGCTAAAGCCCTTTCGGAAACCGGCTTGTTCGGGAGGTTGGTAGTCGTCGAGTCTGCCTGCGACACGATTCGTAATGACTCTCGAAAACAGCACATAGACGCGGCTCAGAAGGGAAATCGGTCTGTAGTTCTTCAAGAGAGCGTTGTCACCTTTCTTGAAGAACAAGACCACCGCACTTCTGCTCCACGCCTCCGGTGTAATGCTACCATGGAGGACGGAATTAAAGAGCTTCTGAAGAACTTCAAGTACCGGTCTTCCACCCGCTTTCAGAAGCTTCGCTGTAATTCCATCCTCCAACGTGGCTGGCTGTGGCTCCAACGACGACGTGTACAGCTGCCCATAGAACCTCTCAATCTCACTCAAAATCTCAGGTGTCCCGGAAACGATGCTGCCACTTTCCGTCTTCAGCTTTGACAATTGGCTCTTTCTGGCAGACAGATCTCTGGCAAAGACTTTGGAGCCTTGATTCCGCTCAATCGCTTATTCAATACGAGCTGTATTGAAGTTGCGTAAGTCCCGCCGCATGCATTTGGAGATCTGTCTGTTCAGATGCCTGTATGCTGTCAAGTCTGTTGAAGAATGTAGCTTCATCTTCCGTCTAACAGCCATGAGATTAAGAGTGTGATCGGAGAGTTTTTGTGTTCTTCTGCGGCGGGTCTTGCAGAACTTAGCTCTGACCACATGGACAGTTTCCACGAGCTTGTCATTCATATCGTCCACTTCATTGCAGTCTTCTAGGCACTGAAAACGGTTTTGTAACTCGAGCTGAAAGGTTTCGGGACTTTGGAACAGAGCACGAGGGGGACGGAGCGTTGACTTCATTAGACGAGACCTCTCCAACTTAACGTTTAGGTTCAGTGTGCCTCTAACTATTCGGTGATCGCTACCAGTTTTCACCCTCGCGATCACGGAGACATCACTGAACAGTTGTCGTCTGGTCGTCATAATGAAGTCAATCTCATTTTTGTCGAACCGTCGGGGCTCGACCAGGTCCACTTCCTGTGGGGCCGCTTCTGGAAGAAAGAGTTCATCATAAAGAGTCCCTCTTTCTCCATGAAGTCGGCCAGCTGCTGGCCCCTTGGGTACCGTTGCCCTATTCCAAATTTCCCTACTTTCAGCTCACCATTCTCTCTTGTGCCTAGTTTTGCATTGAAGTCTCCCATTAACACCGTATATTGGGTTTTGGAGGAATGCATGGCTCTAGAGATATGCTCATACATTTCCTCCACCTCATCGGGGTGTGCCGAGGTTGGTGCGTAAACCTGTATGACCTTCAGCGAATACCGTTTGGTGATTCTGAGTATAAGGTACGCAACCCTCGTCGACACACTCCCTATCTTTACAACGTTGTTAACGAGAGACTTGTGGACGATAAATCCGAAACCTTTTGGGACAGATGGTCGCCCTCCCGGTGATAGAGCAAGTTGCCGGATTCGAGGATTACCGTGTCCTCCCCCTCTCTTCGGACTTCGGATAATCCTATAATATGCCAGCGCAACTTGTCTATCTCTTCTTCCAGCTCCACGATCTTTTCGTCAGTCCTCAGGGTGCGTGCGTTGTACGTTGCCAGGTCGAGTCGTCTAAGGTGGCAACCGAAACTCCACCGGAGATTCTTAGCACCCCCTGCCCCGCCGTTACCATAGTCGCCACCGTAGCCAGGAATAGCGGGTCCGCCGGGGACTGGGGGCCGTCTGTTTGTTGCTTTGGTCATTGGGGGGTATTTGCCATAGTTGCCACGCTTGGCGAGCGGGTTGGCAACCGCAGTTTTTTTATTGTAATTTTGGCTATTATCAGGAAGATGCTGCTGCCCATCTCCTGCCTGTTTCCCTTTGTCGCCTTTTACGACACCCACGGGAGGATTAGGGGTAGTGGATATTCTTGACCGCCACTACACGGCCTACCTAAACATTAAGTCAACAGAAATACATAAAAACAGGAAAAAGCGGTTTTGATACACAAAAATTATTATGGACAGTATCAGTATAAAAATAAATATTGTGTTGATATAAAATGTCATAAATGCCTTAATACTTTGCGTAATTTAATACTGTTAAATTATTTACTATATTATTAATTCATTCTTTAATGTTTTTACTCTATAATGTTTGTATTTAATAACTTATTTTATCTCCCTTTCTCAAATTTGCAATGCCTGAAAAAGGCTACTAAATTGAGACAAATTGTTATTATTATAAGACTATTTATGTACACTTGGTTGGCAAATAAAGATTGATTGATTGATTGATTATTTGAAATGACGCTGCCACAGTCGGTCCTCAACTTTGACCGTTCGATCTTTTTCGCAGATGGATATTTCTTTCCAGCAGTATTTTTAAATTTTGCTATTACTGAATTAGTAAAACCTGGTAAAACCAATATTTTTGATAACGTTGTCATAGAATAAAATATAACGAAAAACGAATATTAGCTTTTCGTTATTACAATTTTTATTCTTTGCTTTTTATTAAGCTTTTTATTACAATGGCAATGTTTTGAAATAATTGACGAATCGGAACGCCGTTTACAGGCAGCTAAAGCCAAACAAACCGAATCCGGCTTATGTGATTGTCGCTCCTTTGTAAGGGAATCGCGGGCTCTTGTAGTCTTTAATCCGCATGTTTTGTGTATGAAAATCATAATAAAAATTGTTTTTGTGAATGAATATGTGCTTAATTTATTCATAATTAATTATAGTTATTATTAATATTGGTATTATAACAGTATTCAGCAACGATACGTCGCATTCTCCCTCTGTTAGGATTTAATGGAGGGTATTCTTGTTTATAAATATTGATTTGCTACATAAGATATTTTGAAACGATCCCATTGTGTTTCTATAGTGAAATGTAGGCAAATAAAATTGTGCAGCGAGATCTTTATCGGCAATGCAACAGTTGGATACGAGATATGGCGCGACCATAATCTACTGTGAGAGGTGATTCGGTCGTGTTTTTTGTGTTTTCTTGTGTTTGATCAGTGTTTTTTTGACAATGGAGGGGACTACGGAAAAGGATTGCTCTCCTTTATGGAACCTGTACCAGCAAATCGTGTCGGATATGAAGGTATGTTAATTTTTGTGCCAATAGTCATCACACATGTCATGTGTAAGTGTTATACCATCCTACATTTTCTTTTACGTTGTGATAATCCGCATAAGTTGTGAGCCGTGTTCTATTATTTCATATGGATAATATTTATTTTTACAAGATTTTATTGAATTAGGGTTTGATGTCCAATGAGAGGTGGACTACGGACTGGAAAATTTTGTCGATTCTTTTTCTTTTACAATTTTTCGTTAAATATTTTCTTACTTCATTATGCATTCTGCATTCTGCTATTTTCTCAGCTTTACAATGCAGGGAAATCATTCTATTCATTTAATTCTATAAATATAAATAATAATACATTAGGTATTGTTTTCTAAATAGAAAAAAATATTACTAGACTATTTTTAAGAAAGACTGATTTTTGATTTTTTGTTAATAAATATCAATAAATTACTAGAAAGCAGCTTTTCTGCCAAGGAGTCTGTTAATAGTACTGTCATCATCAGTACTTATTTTTGGTACCATAAAGTATTAAATCAACTATTGTAGGTATTCTAGTTTAAAGGGTATGTATAACTGCAGAGTGGAGTGTTTCATCTTAATCCAAGTTTTAGACATTTAAATAAAAAAAGTTGCTTTTGTAAAAAAATTTAAAAAATTCTTAGTAGAAAGATGTTTTTAGCCTTGAATTTGAAATATATAGAATTTTATGCTGAATATGCTATATATGGTTAAAATATTATGTACAATTTTTTTTAATTGAGTAATTTATACCTTATAAATGTTTATTGCAACACCTGTAAAATATTGCTAAGGTGCTAAGTGATACTGAACACTTAGCAGGGTTTGAAAATATCCGATTTTTATTATAAAAAAAAAACATTTTTATAGTAAAAATAAAAAATAATCGAAATTTTCCCTCATACATGTCCACTCTTGAACACAGGATTTTCCCAAGAAATGCCATAAAACGAGGTTGTGTGCCACTTGTATCCATTGTCTTCCTGTATGTCTTACCAGGTTGTCACTCCATCTAGTGGGAGGCGGCTGCCCAAGACTCCACTTACAAATATGTGGCTGCAACTTCAGAAACTTTTTTGCTTACCAGTTGTCAGTACTATCTATGCGCTATATGGTCAGCCCATTGCCAATTCAGCCTTTTGATTACTTAGGATTTATAAAGTTGGAAATGGTTCCTCTAGCAATCCAAATCGACGTTGAGTATACAGCCCAGTAGCTTGAAAACATCTTCCAATCATCAAAGACTCAATTAAAGTCAAGAGTTTCAGGAATATAACGTCATCTTGTTTTAAAACTTTCTGCAATTAGTTTGGTACTCTGGTTCTTTACATGAGTAACCATTGTAGCCTTACAAACACTTTGGCATTATATATATATATATATATATATATATATATATATATATATATATATATATATATATATATATATATATATATCCACACCACTGAAGGAACTACAGAACTACCTGAATATCAACTGAAAGAAAGGTTTTTCTCATAGTTAACATAGGCAAGTCGAAGTGGCAGATTTTACTCTTCTGTCTTCTGTCATAATGTATATTTTCTTTGCTTTTGTACAATTTTGAGGGTATATATGTAGTTTTTAGGAATAAAGCCTTATCGGAAATAAGCTTTTCGGGTGTCTGGAAGTTGTCAAGTCTGTGTAAAAGATGATACAAATTGATTACAATGTAATTATACAGTAATACAAAAAAATCTTGTTTGGGTGGGACATTATTTTTAATAGGCTTATATTTAATATGACAAAGGATATATATCAATGATAATAGTCAAGCCATAAATATAAAGATATAAACTGATGGATATCCTATCAATATATCTCTAGATATAAGTTGTGGTATATATCTTGATATGTTTGGCTTGATATATATTCTTTGATATTGGATTCAAGTTTTCAATTTTTTTTTTATAGGATCAGATGCAAATACTTGAATACACCCATATTTATATATATTTGTTTAATATTAATGAATATTTTATGATGAATATTGAATTATGTGTAATAATATGGATATTTCTATCATCTTCTTAGGTGTTTTAATTGGAGTTGCATGCCTATACTTTTAACTTTAACTTAAACATTTGGTAATTAATAACTTACACCTACATTATCTTGATTATTTGCAATTGGCATCAGAGTATTCTGTGGAATTGTTACATCATCTCAATAGTTGGCATTACACCTTGTCCATTTCTCAAGGTATTCCCTACTCTGTATGACTACATTGCGGAGTTTACTGTCATCAAAAGTTTTTCTGGACCAATTCAAACAAGAAGAGCCTTACTTTTAAAAGGCTGGCAACTAAACTATTGCTGTGGTATCACAGATGTTCATTGGTAGAGTCGTTGCTTGCCATCAGGTGAGCCACAAGCTTGTTTGCCCCATCTATACAAATAAATAAAATTAAAGTGTCTGTTAGTAATGTCAGAATTACAGCTTTTTACTAAATGCATATGAAAGTATATACGGTACTAATAACAAAACTATAATTTTTAAAGTTTTTGTCTGTCTGTTTGTCTTTCTGTCCGTCTGTTTGTTCCGACTAATCTCCGAAACGGCTGGACCGATTTTGACGGGATTTTCACTGGCAGATAGCTGATGTCACAAGGAGTAACTTAAGCTACTTTTATTTTAGAAAAATAATTAGGGTTCCGCGCAAAAAAATTAAAACCCCAAATAACACGCGGGCAATGTCGCGGGGAACAGCTATTCTTCTATAAAAAAAACAAAAACTTATTACTGTAATAGCCCACCGTCTGGCCCAAGTTTCTACCAAGTTGAATACGTTTCAGGTAAGGTGACAGAGAGAAACTGAAACAGGAGATGGGCAGCAGCATCTCAAGCAACAAGAGCTCGTAATAATAAAAAAATGCATTTGCTAACCATTTATGCGGTTGCCTGCTAAGCATGGTAGCTATGGCAAGTATATGTGTGTGAGACTATCCATTGCCTATGTTTCGCAGTAGACTGTTGACGTGCTGACGAGGAGAGCTGTGAAAACAGATAGCGGGAACATTGTCATTATCGGTCTCTTCTATGTTATGCTCTTTAAGTTCCAGTTAGTCATCTGTTAGTATGTAGATAGACATCTGTTGGTATGTAGTGCTCGCCTTCTCTGAGCACATTGCGATATTTTTTTTTCAATTTCTTTTTGCTGTAATTCTACTCTGGTATTCTGTGAGAGCGTAGTCCTGCCGCGATCAAACAACTTATTCGTGCTGCAACCATAACACAGTTGTAGACTCGACCAGGTCTATATTTTTTTTTTATAGAATAAGGGTGACAAACGAGCACACAGTCCACCTGATGGTAAGTGGTTGCTGCGGCCCATAGACATCTACATCTATCCTCTATTACAAATAAAAATGCAGGTGCGTTGTCACCCATGAGGACTAAGATGGAATGCCTCTATTCCAGTAAAAGGGGTCTTCGGTTCTCTACACTCACCATACGAAACACAGCAGCATTAAGCTGCTATTTTACGCTGGTATTCTGTGAGAGCGTGGTCCTTCCCCGGTCGAACCGATCCATTCGTGCTACAACTATACTACTAATATAGCTGCAGCATGGCTCTACCACGTTAAAAAGTCAATTCCAAATTAGCGTCGATAAGCTCGTATAGCTTAATAGGCTAAGCACACGCCGTAAATTTCATAGTGCGCGATGCGCGATCCGTGAAACCGTGTAGTGGTGGTGTAGGAATACCTCTGTAGTCCCGTGGGTGTCGTAAGAGGCGATAGAGGGAAACTAAAACAGAAGATGGGCAGCAGCATCTTCCTGATAATTAAAAAACTGCAGTTGCCAACTCGCCTGTCCAGCGTGGCAACTATGGCAATGTCCAATAAATTATTTCATTTCATTTCATCCTCCCTATGAGTGCTATGGGAGAGGTGCACGTTTAGCGTTGGATTTTTATAGGCCGTATCAACAAACAATCGTGAGGAAACCTGCATGTCTGATGAATAGAAATATTTCGAAGAGGTTTAAAGTCTGCTAACACGAACACGAGCAGCGAGGCGGTCTAATTGCTCTGTAACCCTTTATTTTTACCATTCTTTGCATTAGTCCTATATGCAAAGATTGTCTGGAAGAGATAATAAGACCGCCTCTTGTATAATGAACTAGAAATTGTACTCTATTTGTATTCTTATTCTGTTTTTCGGTGTACAATAAGGAATAAATAAATAAACTATCTCAGAAATGAGGTGCGACACATACAGGCGTAACTTTAACTATGTTAGTAATATATTGATTTTGATGATGGATCCCTCCCAGCCGACTTAGTCCACGGGGACAGCTTCCAAATTCTGGCGACAGATTTGAGCTTCGCAGGAGATATAATGTCCCGGTGACGTGGTAGTTAAGCGTGTATGGCCTACACATAATCGTGCCAGTAGTGCTATTGTGTAATTTTGATGAGAGACGTGTGCCGGTGGGAACGTCATTTTGTAAAATGCATTATATTTTTTTATTATGATAATATTCGGTAACGTAAAAAAAAAGACATCGGCTTGTAATCGTTACCGCTACATTTATACAATACCATGAAACCAAACGTCAAACATCATTAGAAATATTTATACGACTTGTAAACTCCGGATCGGGCCAAAGAAATCAGTTATTGAGTTTTTCCGTCAACAAATTCTCAGTAGGAATCGGGAAGCTGGCCGCGTTTCACTCTGTGCCTCGGAAATCATGCTTTCCTGCCTGATCTCTCTCCGGTCGTGTCCAATTGCTGTCTGATTGGACTATGTGAGTAAGAAAATAGAGAGTGCACCTGTGTTTTCGCATACACACGGGCGCTGTAATCCTGTCCTGCGTAGATGGCTAGTCTCTGTTGAAACCATCCCGCGTGACCGAAATTCGGTCTGCAGGATATAATTAGTTTTGAACGGGTGCGGCTTGTGAGTGACTTGTGGTGTGCTCTAAATTTTAACATTATTTTTTAGTTTAACATGGATCACGCTTGA